CTGCCCCTTGAGATCTGAGGCAGAGGCCCTGTTCTGGGAACCCTTCTTGAAGGAGGTTAGGAGGGTGAATACCCTGAGGAGGGCCTTCTCTGTGGTGGCACCCCAACTGTGGAATACGCTCCCCAGAGAGGTTCACCTGGCACTGATGTTATATTCTTTTGGGCACCAGGCAAAAGCCTTTTTATTTACCTATTATTTTAATAATTAATTATTTTAATTGGTTTTTGACATTGTCATGCTCAGTATTGTATTTGTTGTGTTGTGATTTATTGTTGTAAGCTGTCCTGGGACATCTTGTAATGGATGGGGTATAAATATTGTTAACAAATAATAAATAAATAAACCTGTGTGTGAACGGGCTCTCGCCAGACAGTTGAGGGACCCCACATTATGCATGACATCAGACAGGCCATACAGAACCTATTCACATGCCATCCATGTGTGTGAGGTTTCTCTTCATATCAAACTGATGAACCCTGGTGGCTGGAGTGGGTTCTACTCCCGCTCCAAGAATTGATTCTGGAATCTAGCCAGTCTCTGTTTCTATGAAGATTTGGGGGTTCTCAAGATATCTGAACATCCACTTGATTGGTGTGTGTGAGTGTGTGTGAGTGTGTGTGTGTGTGAGTGATACAGAACATAAAACCATGTGCTGTTTTCCCCCAGTGCTTTCCCAGAATACCCCCTCAAATAAATACCCCCAGAATATGTGCTCCATCCGAATAAAGTCATGGTGCTGTATGCAAGAACTATGATTTATTATATCTATTGGAAAGCCTGTTGCACAATGTGACAGTTGAACTGCCACTATCTAATGTGATCTAACCTCTCCCATGCTTAACACAACAAGACCTCTGTTCAGTTTTGCATGGAGTACATGTGCCTGAGAGGCTTGCTCTAGGAAACAACATAATTTGGGCTGGCTATTTTGCTGCTGCTTTACAGAATCAAAAAGGTGAAGTTGAAATCAGAGGTCACCCAGTTCTTGCCACTGTTGACCTCGGATCTTGTTATCACGTAACATGGGCTCCTTCTATTAACTTGCTCATTAGTATGTCCTGGCTTAAGAAATCCCCTTCTTTCAGGAAACAGTATTTATAGATTTTAAGACATTTACCAGTTCATTTAGGGTGAGTTATGCAGAAGATGTTGAGGGAACAATAAACCTCATCTTACGCATTATTGTATTTTTACCAGCATGGAAAGGTGCCGTTTGGGTTTTCTGCTTTAAGCAGCAAATTAATGATAAATTCAGAATAAAACACAATTATTTTCTCATGCAAGCATATTTTCAGATATTGATAAATCTGTTCTTCAACATTAGAAGAACAGGACAACTCAGAATTAAAATCAACTATTTAAAGTAATAATCATTAACTAAAAAAAATAAAAAAAGAATACTCATAATAATGTAGAAATCTGGAAAAATACTGATACAAATTTCTGATTCCCTCTGCTTGAACACTGTATAACATTGCAGAGGCCTCGATCCAAAAGAATGCCCCTCAAGTCATACAGAAATTCAAAATTTGTGTGTATGAATGAAACACCGATGTAATAGAAACTGTTCGGCTGAAACAGCATTCTTAGCTGTGATAACTTGGCATCTAACTTTCTGCTTAACTGTCCGCTGTTAAGAGAAGTGTGGAATGTGGCATACTTATTATAGCTAACAATGCACAGAAGGTGGGATCAATGTATGGATGGGGATAGGCCGAAATAGCTGTTCTAAAAGGTATTAAAACATTTGGACTGCTAATGGCTTGGAAGAAGGAGCAGGTTGCTCTGCATTGTTGTGTGCATGTATCAGTACATAGCTTTTGTTTTTCTGAATCTTGCTGGTGGCTTGTTTTCTGTTGTGGTTAGACAAATGAACCTTTAGGTGAGTTGGGGTTAAAGTCCCTGACAATACCATGTCACTATGGGAAAAAATCAGCATATCTAAAAAGTCTGAAAAGATAAAAAGGTCTGGCACTGAAAGATAGCAAGGCACTATGCAGGACTCTCTGGAGAGGAAATTCTAAATGTTTGCTTCTGCCTCTGAAAAGACCCTCTCTTACATCACCAGTTGCCATACCTGAGGTGTCAGTGGGACCCAATGAAAGACCTATGAACGTAAAATTATAGTCTAGGCTGGTTATATGAAAGCAATCCAACCAAAGGTAGGAGTGCTTAAAGCAGCCTTCTGTTTAACTTGACCACTCACCATGGGCGATCAGGGATCCCAAGAGCAAGAGGAGGAATGGATTTCTCCATTTACTAGTTCAGCCTTCCCCAGCCTGGTGGCCTTCAGAGGCATTTGGACTGTAACTCCCAGAATCCCCATTCCCATCCTATTACCATTGACTGGGAATTCTGGGTGTTGCAGTCCAAGTATGTCTGGAAGGCACAAGATTGGGGAAGGTTGTGCTAATTCATTTAATTTCTATGTTACTGTGGAGAAAGAAAAATTTCATTTCCTCTCTTGCTCCATGACAGCACAGAAATGCAATGGTAGTTTTTCTTTTTACTAGGCCAGCATGTACTTCTGGGAAAAAATGGAAGGCTTTCCTCTCATCAAACTAGTAGTGCATGTGCGTGCGTGCGTGCGTGCGTGCGTGTGTGCAGCTAGTAAATTTTGTGGGTCTATTTAGAATGTGTGTGAAAAGAGTGAACCTGACACTCCAGTTGCAGGTGTCTTCATCTTTTTTTTTTTTTTTAAATGAGAAGGAGCTACAAGAACCAACTGCAAGAATAGCTAGAGATGGAAGAAGAGGGGGTGCTTTATTTTTTCCTACCGATCCATTTCCACCAATCACTCCAGCCCTTCCTCTCCCCCAGAACTTTTCCATCCATGGGGGGAAAAGCACCCCGGGGGGGGGCAGTTATAAGCAAACGGAAAATCCTTTCTCTTGCCCATTGCTGTCAATAAAATTGCCAGTTGGTGCTGATATCTATTGCTGACACATTTTTACCCCACTCTTCCTCACAGAAGTGGAGGGAAGAGGACACATTTCCCACTCTGAAGGACACCAGTGGAAGCTTCATTTGAAATGGCAAGACCAGTTTCGATGAGATGATTTTGATCCCACTTGTGGAAAGTGGAGAAAGTGTTCAGTTCACCCCTTCCTACCCACCATGGCTGCAAGGCAACTCAAGCTACTGTGTGGCTAATAGGTCTATAACAAATGCTGTATACATTAATTGTGTTCACATCATGATGTTCAGTGTGGTACTAAGTAGGGATGAGTAAGAAATACACTTGATCAAGGGGTGTATGTGTGTGCTTTTTTA